CACTCCAAACTCATTCAACTTCGTTCAATCACGTTCAACCTGTTCAACCAAATGAAAAGATGAATTTGACAAAATCCATTCCCTCTCCGTTCAACCTCGTTCAACCTGTTCAACCTGTTCAACCAAATGAAAAGATGAATTTGACAAAATCCATTTCATCTCCGTTCAACCTCGTTCAACCAAATGAAAAGATGAATTTGACAAAATCCATTTCATCTCCGTTCAACCACGTTCAACCTGTTCAACCAAATGAAAAGATGAATTTGACAAAATCCATTTCATCTCCGTTCAACCTCGTTCAACCACGTTCAACCTGTTCAACCAAATGAAAAGATGAATTTGACAAAATCCATTTCATCTCCGTTCAACCTCGTTCAACCACGTTCAACCTGTTCAACCAAATGAAAAGATGAATTTGACAAAATCCATTTCATCTCCGTTCAACCTCGTTCAACCACGTTCAACCTGTTCAACCAAATGAAAAGATGAATTTGACAAAATCCATTTCATCTCCGTTCAACCACGTTCAACCTGTTCAACCAAATGAAAAGATGAATTTGACAAAATCCATTTCATCTCCCTTCAACCTCGTTCAACCACGTTCAACCTGTTCACCCAAATGAAAAGATGAATTTGACAAAATCCATTTCATCTCCCTTCAACCTCGTTCAACCTGTTCAACCAAATGAAAAGATGAATTTGACAAAATCCACTCCAAACTCGTTCAACCTCGTTCAACACGTTCAACCTGTTTAACCAAATGAAAAGATGAATTTGACAAAATCCATTCCAAACAAATAAATGAAGTGGGTATGTATAAAGCTGTGACTTCAATTAACAGATTATAACTGGTGGTGTCCCAGTTGCATTTGGAACCCAAAACAAAACTATCAAAACAATAATGTTAAGCACGACTACTGCCAAACATTCACAGGTGACTAAAATGATCTAAATCAAAGTCAATTATAATAAAAACATAACCAGTAAGAGGAGTACTACAAATAGTGTACCTGACGTCTACACCAACCACCTCACCCATAGCAATAAACGTGCCCATCTAGTGCCACTCCCCCATTTCAATTGTTTATACCCTTTTTGTGTCATTGCAGTTATTTGGAGATGCATGTTAAATTACATTTGGGGCTGGAGTGATAGGGTGATTGTTCAGGTTAGTAGTGAGGGGATCTTTAGGTACTTCCCCCCCCCCCAAACTTTCCCTTTCATGGCTTTCACATACAACCCTACACATTTTTTTTTCAAATTTTAATATGCAAATAAGGCATTTTCAAACTGGCCAATGATATCCGAGTTCCGAGCTGCTGCAGATCAGCCCAAATAAAATATAAAATAATAACACTCAACTAATCAATTAGTCAGTCAACAAGTTAATCAATCATTTATTTTATTCACCAATACAAGTAGTCACGTTATCAATAAAGATCAGATACAATATCAATTTGATGTCATCATGTGTCGCGTCAGTTTCCTTATAAACAACGAACGACTTTCTTGGCAATTTTTAGTTGATTGGCAAAGATACTAGAGGATAGGGATATGTTTGCAATATAATATAAACTTTTTTATGTAATTTGTGGCATCTATAAGGAGAGAAAAACAAATATAATCATGGCCACATAATTTATGACGGTCCAATAATAATGCCTGCCTCCAAAACTGGCTGAAGAAAGAAAGAGATGTTGAGATGTGAGAGAGGTATTCGATTGGCTTTTTAGTTTTATTAATTTTGTTAGCAAGATCTTCACCAATATGAGCAATAAATTTAATTCCATATCGCTTTATTGCTCGCTCTACTCGGGTACGATACATCCATCACATTAAACTGAGTCAAATCTGAATCAAATGTGTGTGAATATTAATACCTGCATTTGATGTATTATAAACAACTTCAAATGTTAACATTCCCGAATTGGTGACTATGTCACGCTGAAATTCTTCAATAAATTATTTTGAATCACATTTTACCGGCAAAAAGGCGTTGGTTGACAATGATTGTTACACCCAGTATATACTCTAAACAAAGACGTGTATTTATCGTAAATGCTACTTATGTTGATCGGCAAGACGTTACAGGTATCAATTTTCAAATAATAGCATGCACGGTCAGACGGACTTATTTAATTAACTTTCAGCAAATTTCCGGTTATTTCAAGATAATAATTAAAGAACATCTGTTGTTTAGACATTCTATTAATAACTCGTTCTTATATAGGTA